TATATATATATATATATATATATGTATATCTTTGGTTCCCATATTATTTACATGTATGTATATTTGGTTTAAATATATTATATATAATACATACAAACACACACATATATATATATTTGCTAAGGTATATATTTGATATATGTATTTGGTTCCTATAGGAACAGAAGCCTGCCACTGTAAGGTCACGCCTGCGCATGCGCACGCCTACGCGTCACTGTGGGCCACGCCTTCTTCGTTTGTCGCCGCGTTCAACCCCGGAAGCGGAGTCCATCCGGGTCCTCGGTTGCCGTGGCGGGTTGCCATGGCCTCCCTCAAAGCCGGAAGTGGAGCGTGGAGGCCGCGTTTCGCTGAGTGAGATGGTGGCAGCGGGGCTGCTGCTGCTTCTTCCCCTCGGAGGAGCGGCGTTGGCGAGAGAGCATGGCTCAGGTCCCCAGCGAGGACGAGACGGTGAGCGGGGAAGGGGCTGGCCTTATTGCCTGGACTACAACCCCCAGAATCCCCTAGCTAGCCTGGATGTCTGGGTATGTTGGGCTAGTCACACTCTCTCAGCCTCCTCAGGGGGAGGCAATGGCTACCGCCCCCCGTGAAGAAACCTGCCAAGGAAACCCCAGGATAAGCTTCCCCTTAGGGTCGCCATAATGACTTGGGAGGCACAAAACAATAACAAATGATTGTGTTGTTGTTATTGTTGTGTGCCTTCGCATCATTTCCGACTTATGGCGACCCTCAGGCCATATCATGGGGATTTCATGGCAAGCTTCTTCGAGGGGGGTTGGCCTTTGTCCTCGTCTGAGGCTGAGAGAGTGTGACTTGCTCAAGGTCAACCAGTGGGTTTTATGGCTGAGCAGAGATTCGAACCCTGGGCTCTAGAGCCATAGTCCAACACTCAAATCACTACGCCATATTGGCTTTATGTGTGTATATATATTATATGTGTGTGTGTGTGTGTGTATATATTATGTACATATTATATATTTTATATATATATGTGTGTGTGTGTGTGTATAACTTTCCCCATTTGTGTCCCAACTGTCAATTCATTGGTGCCTTGGGGACTGCCAGTTTTCTTATATGGGTGACATAGGAACAGAAGACAGAAACCCTTTCCTTCAATATATATGCACTTGTCCCTCCACATTTGCAGATTTCACTTTTGCAGATTTGATTATTCACAGATTGTATTAGTATGTTCTCTCTAGGAATATCTAGGTCCTCCAGTGCAACTCTATGGTGAACTTTAACCAAAAGTCTCACTGAAGGAGCTAGAGATTCCTAGAGAGAATGTGCCACTAGGCATTTGAAGCTAAATAGAAAGAGTAAAAGCATTCCCATACCTGGGATCAAACAGTGATAGAAATGGGGACTGCATCTGGAAACCAGAAGAAGACTAAGGGCCTTTGCAGGCTGCCAGAAATAGTGCAAATTGCGTCTACTTTAAGGGTTAGGGTTAGTGCTAGGGAATCATGGGAATTGTGTTTTTTTTTTTTCTGAGACATTGAGCCTTCTCTGTCAGAGAGCTCTGGTGCCACAATAAAATACAGTTCCCATGATTCCTTAACCCTAACCCTAAAAGTGGACTCAATTTGCACTATTTCTGGCAGTCTGCAAAGGCCCTAAGAATGGGGAGAGTGGCTATGAAAGAATCAGAAAAGATCCTAAAATGCAAAATATACAGCACAAAAGTCAGAATCATACAAGCCATTGTATTCCTATTCCTATGGATGGATGTGAGAGCTGGACAGTTAAGAAAGATGATAGGAGGAAAACCAATGCATTTGAGATAAAGTGGTGCTGGAGAAGAGTGCAAAGGATCCCATGGAGAGCCAAAAGGACAATCCAATGGGTCCTAGAGCAGATCAAGCCAGAGATATCCCTAGAAGCCAAGCTTTGAGTTCCTATGTTGGGAGAAAACAGGATATAAGAAAATAACATCAACAATTATTATTATTATCATTATCATCATCATCATCATCATCATCTAATCTTTTTGAATCATGGTGCCTAAAACTGGACGCACTATTATTCCAGGTGAGGCCTGACCAAAGCAGAATAGAGTGGCACTATTGCTTCCCTTGATCTAGATACTGTACTTCTATTGATGCAGCCTCGAATCGCATTGGCCTTTTTAGCTGCCGCATCATACTGTTGACTTATTATGTAGAGAGATCTTGTAGCATCTTTGAGACTAACTGAAAGAAGTTGGCAGCATGAGGTTTCGTACAACACTTAAGTCTACTTACTCAGGTGCATTAGGACCTCCCTAAGTCTCTCCTCATAAGACACGGCTTCCAGACCCATCACCGTTGTGGTGACCCTCCTCTGGACATGCTCCAGCTTTTTAACATCCTTTCTAAGATTTCTAATTACAAGACTTGGGAATGGGAACGTGACAAGTGCATATGGCCTTTACTTTTATGTCCTGCTTTCAACTGGTTGCAACTGGGAACAGAATCAAGGATGCTGAACCAGGAGGGTTTGATGTAGCTATTGTGATGAAAGCCCACTGATACATTTGTCCTTTGTGAATCTTTATCATCCCTTAATAAGGCCAGCAGAGCCCAAATACCTATTGCTACAACACGCTCCCTCAGAGAGTTTAAACAGAGGCTGGATGGCCATCTGTTGAGGATGCTTTGATTGTGTGTTCCTGCATGGCAAAATGTGGTTGGACTCCATGGTCCCTGTGGACTCTTCCTAGTTGAAGCTTTTTAAGGATTACTGGGACAAGAAGTAACAGAGGAAAAACCAACTGCAACCAATCTGCGCCTGCAATGTGCAACTCTAAGTAAGCCTGGGGTGTGTGTTCTAGTTTGTGCTGAACTTTTGAGATCCTTGCTGAAAGTTTCCCCATCACTGCCTATTGAAATCTTTATATTTTGCATTTACCTCCTCCCCAGTAACGGGAGGGAGTATATCTGGGAGAGCCTAACTGTTAGAAATTCATGCTTTTGCTGCACACTTCTGCAGATATTTGTCCATTTTCCTTAAAATTCTATAGTTTTGCCTGTTTCACAGTCTGACCACTAGCGCAGCAAGACAAACTGGATAAGGAGATATAGACCAAGATCAGATGCCTGGAGGATAACGAAAATAATCTGCCAATATGCTGTGAAGAATGTGGCTTCAGGAAATTAAAAATTCGGTGATGGGGCATATGTGGCGCATGCCCGCCTGCAGTGAGGCATCAGAACGCTGATCTCTTATCGCTTCATGGCACTTCTTTCCACCTATCCAACTTTTAAAAGCCATTCTCACTCCCTCTCTGCCTTTTTGCAGAGAGAGAGATCTAGATCTAACAAGACTGGACTGGGGTGTACAAAGGATGGTGAAAGCTGCAACGGAAATGAACCACCAGGCTCTTCCTTCAAGGGTGACTTATCCACACACCACTATTTTAAAAGGAAATTAAAATCAAAATCTTCTTCCTGGCTGATATGAGAAAAAAACTGTAAATCTCACTGAGTAATGTCTTACGAAATGCATTTCCATCCCTCTTCTGGTTGTCTGTGCCAGCACAGGTTTTGCTTTACAGCTTGGCTCCCTTCAAGTGACTATAGAGAAAGCAGACTTTTAGTTTTCACTATTTCTGAAGTAAAAGCATGAGCATTAGGGCTTGCATCTGATAATATGTTTAGAAACCCACTGATATATTCTGGACTATGACTCTGGAGGTCAGGGATCACCAACTGGGTGATCTTGGGTGAGTCATACATGCTCAGCCCCAAAAAACCCTGTGATAAGTTTGCCTTAGGATTGCCATAAATCAAAAATGTCTTGAAAGCACAAAATAAATTGCTTTTTATCTTTTCTAAGTGCATCTTTTAAATTGTTTTAATATTGTGAATAGTTTAGTTATATTTTAATGTGTTCACCTTTTGTATTGTACTTGTTTGAAATTGTAAAACAGTCTTGAGTCTTAATTTTGGAGAAAAGGCAGGAAATAAAAGTGATGATGATAATAATATCTGCATGTTTATTCCCCAGGTAGAGGACAGTCTTTCTGCAGTGACCTATGACTCTGGCACAGAAACGGTGAGTTGGATCAGGAGCGTGATGTTTTTGAGTTGTTTTTCTAGATTTGCAATAGGTTTTCTGTTCATTTGGAGTGAAAAATTCAGCTTTTGGGTAATGAACTGCCCTGGCAGTCTTGGAAATTTATTAAACCTAGGTTCTCCTGACTAGCTATCTGTATCTTCACTCACTATACAAAAATTATAGTAATGGAACTCTTGTTTTCTGCCTGGAAAAGTACATGCTATGTACAAATTCATGCATAACTACAAAAAGATTCTTTTTATATTTCAGAAACTGAGGAAGAAAACAGCTTGCAAGTCACCCAAATCACCAAGTTAGTATGACCAAATCTTTTAACATGAAACCGATACCCTGAAACAGCCTTACTGTCGTGAGAAGTGTAGATTTTTACATCATTCACCAATATGAGATGGATTCCTACGCAAAGGACAGAAGAGGGAGTACTTGCTGGAAAGAGAGGATGGAATTCCGTTTCTCAAAGAGCTTTGAGATTAGCAGCTGTTGTAAGAGTTCCAGCTGGCCAGTTTAAAACTAGCTGCCTTTTGCTGTTTAAAGATTTCAGCCTTTCCTGTGTTAGGCAGTTGTCAGAAACTTTCTGTGCATTTCAAAATGAGTACAAGATTAAGCAGTTTTCTCCCTATTCCAAGTCAGTAATGAGTCTTAAGATAGAGAGCCCATGATTCATGCCTCATGACTTTACAGAAATGTGATGCTAGAAGGTTGCATGTTGGTTTTTAAACTTGTGGTACTGAATTGTTTTTGTTTTTCTTGCCTCAGAGTCTCCGTACACCTCTGTTACATGTTTCCTTTCTAAAAGGGCTGGATTTCCGAGATCCTTTAAAGGTATAGAGAACAAAAATTTTGGCATCTCTTTGGGCAAGTCATCAAGACAGCTGTGGCGTGGACCTCCCAAACAAGGTACCCATATGTGAAAACAATTTCCCTTTCAACAAATTGTTTCTTGCATTATCTTGGCAATGTGGAAACAGGTGCTACACTCCTCCTCCTCCTGCTGTGAGGATAATGTCTGAACCTCTGGGCTACCAGGTATATAAGTGTAGGAGCTTCATGCAACCGTTACCCATGCTGTCTGAGATCAGTGACACTGGCATGGGGCAGAACCACAGAGCCAGGGTAAATCTCCACAGGACCTCATTGCTTTTCTTGTGGCTGCTAGTACTTCAAGCCCAGTACATTTGTCTCATTGTTTTTGCATTCCCTTTCACTAGGTCCCAGGATGGTCAAGGGAAAACCAGACCTTGATGTAGGTGATGCACTGTCCACTCTCCCTGGAAGCACTCCAGAATATCTGAAGGAAGCTTTGGGCATGAAAAAACCAAAGCATGCACGCTCCTCCAGAAGTGGTAAGTTCAGTATAAAAGGAATGGCTGCCCACAGATGAGAAATTAAAAAGGCAGGAGAAGAGGGGCAACCCTCTCTAGATGTAAAAATCCCCAGTCCAGAGCCTCAGGGACACTTTTGCTTTGACATAGTGGTTAGAAACTGGACTGTGACCCAGAAAACCTGCTATAAACGGCCTTAGGCCAACCATGTATCTTAGCCCACAGCCTCAGCACTCCCTCTGTTGGCCCTTCCATTTTGCTGGCCCTTAAAAGGGAAAAATGCTGTTTTTCCTCTTTAAAGCCCCACATAGTGTGGGTCCCGGTTACCTACCAGATCACCATCTGCCATATAATCTGCCCTGTATACTCAGGTCCTCTGGGCAACATTTGCTTTAGTCAGCCAGAACTAGGTTGGCAACTGTTAGCCAGAGGACTTTTTCTGGAATGACCTACTGGAAGAGATTTATCAGCTGGATATGCTCTCTGATTTTTAAACTATGAATTTTAAAGGATGTATTGATTATTTTAACC